ACCCCAGGCACCCTATGCCCACGGCCCTCGGCTCTGAGCTTGGGCTCCATAGCAGCCCCGGGTCCCAGGAGGCAGGACCCAGAATTCAGTGACAGGCCTTGTGGAGGGCACCTGACTTCTGCCCGGCATCCACATCTTGCGACCAGGGCTTCAGATTTTGCTCAGGAGGCTGACCGGCCCCTCTGTTTCTGGGAGTGACTTTACCCAAGGCCCTGGATAATCGTCCTGGCCCCCACCGCACCCAGGGTGTCAGGCAACTAGTGGCGGGACTGCAGCCTGGGCAAAGCCGCCTTTGGGGAGCCAGCCTAAGCAGGGAGTAGGGGGCTGAAGCCCCGAGGCCTCTGGCCTTTGGTGTCACCAGTCGGGTATTCTCTGCCCCTCGCCAACACCTCCTTGGACTCTCAATGCCTCAGCCATCCAAGGCTCCCTGAGGCACCCCTGAGGCTCAGTGGGGTCCACACCAGTCACGGATAGAGGCTGCCTTCACTCAGCACAGGGTATTGGGCTCGGGGCTGCTCCTGTTGTCTCCTCCTGAAATCAACCGTCACCCTTCCTTCCCTAACCTGATGGGGCTCAGTGCGTGGGGCGAGGCGGGGCCTGAGGTAGGTGCTCCAGGATGTGAGACACCTGGTCCTGGCCTACATGGGTGGCAGCCCCTTTGAAGAACTCATCCCCTGCTGTGCCTACATCACCTGTTTTCACAAAAGCTCCCAGGAAGTCTTCCTGAGTGCGCCCCATTGGCAGTCGGATGCTCCCTCGAGCAGCGGGAAACCAGCTCCGGCGGCACCAGGGCTGTGACCCTGCTAGTGGCAGCAGCTGGACCCGGGATCCCAAGCGTGGTCCAGCGCAGGGTTGGCGAGGAGGTGGCCGCCCAGCAGGTCTGCAGCTTCTGCCCCGTGCAGCCTCCCGTCCCTGTTCCTCAGACCTGTCAACACCCGGCGGGATGCATCCTGGGGCCAGCCGTGTCCACAGGCCCCTCGCGAGCTGAGCCTTCTGCGGGCGACATGACACTGAGTTTGTCAATTGCTGTCCTCGTGACCTTTGCGGGCACAGAAGTGTTCACGCCACTCCCCCCGCAGCTGGCGTAGAGTAGGCCTTTGGAAGGGGGACACCGCGTCGAGTGGGAAGAGGTTACACTTGGGGTGGGGAGCGGCGGCTCTTGCTAAGTCATCCTCCTTGGCACTGGGGTGCGCTTGGCTTTGGGTCACTCCCCTGCGGTCAGGGGAGCTGGGGCTGAGGCCTGCGGGGGGTCCCAACACTGAGTGGACAGTGCCTGAGGGGCAGTGGGGGCAGCCTATGGGGGCACTGGGTGATGTTGCTGGCCCAGCAACCGCCGTCTGGGGGCCCTCGTGCAGGGCTTGTTCCCTGGCACAGGCCACGGTGTCCACTTAACTCGCTTCCCTGCGGGGAGCCCTGACTTGCTGCCTTTACTGTCCCCTCACACACCTGCCCACCCCTGCCTGTGCACACCCTCCCGCCCGTGACCTCAGACACCCACAAGGCTCTTCCCCATGCCCACGCACACCCGCACAGGTCCTCCTGTGCCCGCATACACTAGCAAGGCCCTCACTGGCGCAGATGCAGGGAGGCCATGCCTGTGCCTTTTCTGAGGGTGAGTCCAGACCCGGCTCTCCCGGACACAGCTGCCTTCTGTCTGCCAGGGCCTGTTTGCCTCACGCGCCTGCTGCTTGCTGTGGTGACGATTTGCAGCAAGAGGTGGTGGGGGAAGGGGGGCGTTGGCTCTTCTCAGGAGAAGGGGTCTTTCCCGGGATTTTTTTTTTTGGCTCAGGATGGGCAGTACCACCTCTGAGCTGGTAAGAAATGCCAAGCTCATCTCTTATTATCTTCATGTGAAAAATGCAACATTGTGGAGACTCAAGGTGTCCTAATGGGCTGAGGAAGGCCTTGCAGAGCAAATGCCCCACTGCCGAGTGTGGTCCTGACGCATCTCACAAGTGACGCCATGTCCTGAGTGAAGTTACAAATCAGATCGTGCAAACACGCTACCCGGCAAGTGTCCCTGGCAATGCTGGGCCATGCTGTTCTCTGCCCTCTGGCCTTGTCCTCCGGGGCTCAGTGTCAGGTGTGGACACTGCCTGTTAGTGCAGGGAGGCTGTCACCCTCACGGCCCGTGGTGGATTCAAACTGTGTTTCTATTGTAGAAAGCATCTTTCATTTTTATTTAAATCTAAAAATCTTTTAAATCTCGCATAGCAAATCACGTTACCATCTTTATTATTCTTAAGCTATTTTTTTCATTGAGGTAACACTGGCTGACAGCCCAGTATGGGGCTCAGGGGTGCAGGACCACACCCTTGGGTGTCTGTTGCCCCCCAGGGCACCCCAAATCTTCTAGCCCAGTCTTTATTTTAAACTGATAGAGTGAATCCATTTTGCAATCTTTAAGGAAAATCTTAAACATTTATTTCTGCCATTGTGTGTTCACTTGAATCTGCTGCGTCCTTGGGCTCAGTAATCCTTTCATTAAACCTCTTTCCATGTGAAACCCAACATGCATTAGGAGAGTGGGAAAACCAGACATGGGAGCCTGTCTGGCTACCTGTGTGCTGGTCCTGTTGAGCAGGTGGTGGGACTCGTGCCCACCGCGTGCCACTACCACACCCAGGTGGACCAGCTCACCAGCCCCACCAAGCAACCAACTGATGGCGTTTGGTTGATAAGTAGCAAATATCACAGAATTGAGCTTCCTGACACATGAATAAATACGGTCTATTTAGCATTTTCAAATGTCTCCTGATAACTTCTTAGTGGTCTGTATGGGTTGCACATATCATTGTTGCATCTGTGCCTACATAGGTTATATTTATGCTCTAACAGTTGCTCTTTCTAATAACAATCTTCGGACGTGGGGCTGGTACACAGCAACATCGGGGTGACTCTGCTCCACATGTGGGCAGGTCCGGGCTTCATGTGCCTGCAGTGACATGACACCCCCAAGGACCGTCCCACTGCCTCTCTTCCAAATTGCCCTCTGTCACTTCGTCCACGCTGGGACCCTGGCCACTGGCATCTCACTGCCCTGCTGCCCACAGTGGGAGTAGCCAGCATGTGAGCCCCATTCCCTACATCAAAGGGGAAACAGTAAAGACTTTCTACATTAAATGTGATGGTACATGTTGCTAGATTTGGTTTTCTAATCATTTACATGGGGTTTTGAATCTAAGTTCACAAATAAAGATGTCCTGTGATTTTTTCCCCCCTATAATGTCCTTGTCAGGTTTGGGTTTGAAGGTTTTGCTAGATTCTTAAAGGCAACTGGAGAGAGTGTGTCCTCTTGCCTGCTATCTGGATGAGTCTGGGAAAGACAGCATTGTTAATTAGAATTTACTAAGCCATCTAGCTAAAGAGTTTTAGTTTTGTGGCGCAAAGGGTTGGGACACAACCTATAAAGCTGTCCTCAGCCTCTGCAGCATGACTTTGATCCTCTGCCAAGGAGCTACCCACAGGGCGCAGCAGACCTCTCCTGCCTTGCCTGCTGCTCCTTCAGTAGATTTCAGTAGATCTGCCTATTCTGTTCCCTGCTCTGTCTCTGGTGAAACACCCCCCCACACCTTTGGCCTGTACCCCATCTCTTGTATGCATAAATAAATAATTTTTTTTTTAAAAAAGCGTTTTGGTTTTGGTTTGTTTGGGGAAGGTGTTTAATTACAAATTCTGCTTCTTCCACACGATTGTTCAGATATTCTCTTGCTGCTTGTGTCCTTTTTGGTTTGTTGCAGTTTTCTAGGAATCCGTCCATTTCGTCAGAGTTGTGAATTTGTTGGAAGGAAGCTGTTAATGCCATCCCTTGTCTTCTTGCGCCTCTAGAGTCTATAATGGTGTCTCCTTTTTCATCTCTGATCTTTGTTGTTTGTGCCATCCTCTTTGCTTTCCATAATTGAACACTCCAGCGTTGGTCTATTCTTACGAGTCTTTTCAAATAGCGTATTTTCACTGTCATTTCGTTTTCCATGGGTTATATAGAAGTGTATCCTTAATTTTCACTAGAAGATAGTTTGGATTTCTAACTCATGGAAAAGCGTATGCTGAATGATTTCCTCTATTTGAAAGTCATTGTTATTTGCTTTAATTTTCTAAATTTTCAATGAAAATTCCACCATGTACTTGAGAAAATAGATTTTCTGTAGTTGTAAGGTTGGTGTTCTACACATCACCGTTGGGTCAGATTTGTTTCTTATGACATTCTACGTCCTCACTGTTTTACTTGTCTGCTTCTCCGGTAGTGACTGAAAGAAGCAAGTGTGCCACAGTTCTCCTCATGGGTGTTAGTTATTCGTTCTTCCTTCTGGTTCTGGCAATTCTTGCTTTCTGTGTTTTGAACCCAAGTTATTAAGTGTAAGGAACTTTGCAATTACTTTATCTTCCTAGCAACTCAAAAGTTTTATCATTATTGTGTGTACTTTTCATCTCTGGTCATGGTTGTTGCCTTAAAGTTACCCGTGACTGATACTGACGTAGCTACATCGATTCTCTTTGGTTATTATTTGCATGGTAAACATTTTCCCATCCATTCCTTTTCAAGTTTCTGTCTCTGTCTTTTACAGATATGTTTATAAATAGATAGTTTTGTCTTGTTTATTTAATCAAATGTGCCGATTGCTGTCTTTAAAAGTTTTCAATGAAGACATAAATCTGTCAGTCAAAGTCAACAAATCTTTAAGCAACATTTCACATTCAGAAAACAGTTCATTAACATCTATGACTTTTAAGAATTTAATCTTTTCTGATGTATATGTAAATATGCAGAAATTTATGAATCCTTCTTATCTATTATTTCTTTGACTGTTGTGCAATGAACAGAGCTCCAGGGACTAAAATATGCTAAGAACAGCATTTACAATCTAGTGTTTTGGGACTTCTGCCTGTAACTCTTGTCTTTGCTGTGATACACCCACCTAATTTCACTCCTCACAACACTGACACAGTCTCTCTTGTTTTTTATTAATAAAATACTATGAAACTTTCATTTTTGATTACAGGGCTGTGACTCCCAGGTGAGCATGTCAGAAATGTCCTGTAGTGAAAGTGCATCCTCATGTCAATCCCTGGAGCACGGCTCTGTCCCAGAAATCCTCGTTGGCCTGCTGTACAATGCAACGACGGGGAGACTGTCAGCCGAAGTGATCAAAGGCAGCCACTTCAAGCACTTGGCAGCAAACAGGCCACCCAGTGAGTGACACAATTTTTTAATTCTCTTATTTCTGCACTTATGGGACTCAAGGTGTTAGGGGCTTCAGTCCCACCCTTTAGTCTGAACTGATCAGAATGAAATGCTGTGATCACCAGCTTCTCTGTTTCATGTTTTCTATTTCCAGTCACTCGAGAAGTAGGAAAATTTGGAATTCAAAAGATTAATTGTAAGGTGACAAGACATACATTTTCATAGTGTCCGCAGAGTCAATTCTCACTATCTTAGCCGGGATCTCATGCCAGGAAAATCAATAACATTCCACAAATGTAAGCAGGGATATGTGTAGCTGTTGTTGCCAACCGAAGACTGATGTTTTCTGTCTGTGGGCAGTCCTAACAACCAATGTATAGATGCCTTTCTTTTTCCTTCTCTGACAATTTAGGAAGAAACTTAGGTGTTTCTTCACATTTTTCCAACTTTAAAATTATAAATCAGTGTTGCCAGCAGGGACTTAAGGGTGTGTGCTTTGCCTTTCCCGGGACAAGCAGAGTAGGAAGAGGTTGCTGCTCGCCCAGAGGCAGGCATTGCCCTCTCACACTTCCCCCATCTTCCCTCTCCCAGCTCAGGGCCTGGGTAAGCTGTGGGAGCACAGAGAAATTGGCGCTGGATATGCCTCCCAGCAGGTTGTTGACACCTGGGAGAAATAAACTGGGAAAGTAGCAGCTTCCTCATGCATCTCTAAACTTAAAGCTGTTAATACCAAGGTGAAAAAACACGAAAGGAAACCTTGAAAAGTAGTGGCTACCTTGAATGTGTTTCAGATTTATCACAGACTTGCTTAAAGCATCTTTTACTCCACCTACAGACTCATTACTGGAGAAAACTTTTTCCACCTTCGAATTAAATTTGCTTCTCAATGTCCTGAAAATTCCTTTTCCAATCAGAGTCATAAAATTATATTTGCTTTGCCCACAGCACTGGAGGAAACCTTCCTTCTTACACACACCATGGAAAGTCTTGAGCTAAAAGTTCAAAACCACGAGTATGTTCGTGGGAAATGCTTGGGCTAGCTGCCTCTCCACCATTCCATTATTTATAACATTGCGGTTGTTTCTGTCAGTGCAGCAGTGACCTCAGAGCAGGTAAGGGTGTGTGCAAGCAGGCTGGGCTTACTCCCTTTTCAGAAGGAAAAATGCCAAGGGAGGAAAAAACAATGGCTAGAACCAGCAGCTTAGGCCCTGTGACTTGATTCTCGTGAACTCACACAGAGAATGCAAAAGGGAGAGTCTGGAGGGAACTGAAATGAGCAGACGTTCTAGACGGTTGATCAGGAGGGTGGTGAGGCCTGCGACAGAGGTAAATGTGTTCGCCCGCCCTGACATGCTCTCGGGATGCAGCAGCAGACACCAGAGTGTGACCGGGTCACCTCAGCCAGCAGCTGTCGCTTGCTGCTTCAACTTTCGCTGGTGGCTTAATTTTTCAACAAATATTTAACTTGAGATGCTAAATGTAGCCTTATAATACATGTTTCCTCTTGTGGTAGGAGTGGAGGAGCACTAGTAGAATGGGGTGAAGGAAGCAGGCAGGTGGGATGATGGACAGGTGAAGAGGGGTCAGGGCGTGCAGGGCAAAGAGCAGGTGGTAGCAGCTGCCATGAGGTGAGGACTGGACCTTCAGTATCAGGAGGCTAGTTGTCACTGGGAGGGAGCACGTCAACCTGAAAATGAGTCTTACGAAGTATTTATGAAGTAAAATATGACATAGAAAGCTATCAACCTGTCTCGTGCTACAAATAATTGGTATAAATATTATTAAGCTTGTGACCCTTCATAGGTGGGTACTAAGTTGAACTGTATTGTCGACTAAATAATCCAATTTTTAGCCAAAGAAATAGTGGCATCACGAGAGAGCAAAAATGATGATAGTTTCTATTTGATTTTGCATCATGTAATTTTATATGCCCCTGGGAGTATTGAAAAAGTATTTGAAATATTAAATATTGAATGGATAAGCTTAAATTTCAGCCTCATAATAATCTTGAGCCTTGAATGACTTTTGATCAGTCTTTTATAGCCTGATAATTGGCATGATTCTATGTTCGGTGTGCTTTAGACCAAAAGGATCTCATCCTGGAGATATCCCCCCTTGAAAACAATGTAATTCTTGTTGAAGATTACACAATGACCTTAAAATCCTTATCCCATGAAATTTACCCAGCGCCTCTACCTGAATTAAAATGCTCAAGTTTTGTGTTCTTTCACGCCAGTGAACAGTGTTTCCGCTTTAACTCTAACCTTTGACCCTCTTTCACCCAACAATTGACATCTGGTCATTATTTCTTTTACTGCTTTCCACCCCCTGTTGTCAGATGGACTGTTCTGTTGTCTAAAACACTTGATAGGTGGACAGGTTTATATAATCCGAGGTGAGTCCTGTAGAGGCTAATTGGATGTTGTCTTTTCATGCAAAAACAAAATCCCCTCCAACTTGCCAGCACTGAAGCTGTCCACCATGTTGGTTTCCAAAAATATGCACATTTCTTATCTGTGGTACTTGAAATAAAAACTAACTTAGACTGGATCTCTGATTATGGATGATGGTATTCAGAGTATTTATAAAAGAAGCAAAACTTCTCAAATTAAAGGTTTTCTTTTTTTCATTCATTGTATTTTGATTCCTACAACAGAAATAGATATTTCACGAGAAATATTGTAATTTTCATTAAAATTGATTGAACTTTTGATATGAAGTACACATGATGGATTAACATGCTGAAGATCATTTGCATGAGACTAAGAACTTGATCGCGCAATTATTTGAAGAGAGGGTTTATCTCCCAAATAATCAGACAGTGAACTGTTACGATTCACTTTGTACACGAAACATCACATCAATTTTTTTTGATTCATAACAATAGTCGAGATGCCATCCTGAAAATTTCACCTTCTATTGTGCCCAGAAGAAATCCTCCCCTATTTATTGCAACTCCCCCCAAAGCACATGAAATATACTCTTGCATGAAACCAGGAGGAAGTCTTACTGGATTTGCAGAACATTGAGTCCTTAATGCATTTGGCTTCATTTTGGCCCTTAAATGTTTTAAGAATATATTTAAAAACCACATCCATGCAGAGATTTTTTTGACATTTCATCCTAAGCTGTTCTGATGTCATCTTTGCATTCTCGTCTCCCTCTTCTCCTCCCCACCATTTGCCTTCATTTCTGTTTGTTTGTTTTTCCTTATTCTCTGAGAACACAGTGGAATGCTTCACAGTGTCGTGGCTAATCGAGCTTGCTGAGTGTCTATTGATGCTATGACGTCCTGCTTAGTGAAGCTAAACGGGGGCGGTTTGGGCAGGGCGGGTGCGGGGCCGAGGTTGGGGGGGTGCGGGTGGAGGAAGGATTGCGAGGCGGGCCTCTAAGTGGACTGCAGCGTGGTGAGGTTAAGATGTCTCCCGTCCCAGCAGACTGTGCCCTCTTAGCACCCCGGTAGCTGTCATGTTTTAGAAGCATCGAGCTCAAAATGGAATTCGCTGAATTTCCATCGAGCATGTTGTACGCCGTACCCTTAGCGAGAATAAATAATCCTCTCCACACACATCCCAACAAAGAGCTGTCTGGAATCCGTGGCCAATGCTGTCTGTGTGTGTCGTCCTGTTCTCTGTAGATACGTATGTTAAGTTGACTCTGCTGAACTCCATGGGCCAGGAGATGTCTACTTGCAAGACCTCCATCCGCAGAGGGCAGCCCAACCCCGTGTACAAGGAGACCTTCGTCTTCCAGGTGGCCCTGTTCCAGCTCTCTGACGTCACGCTCATCCTGTCCGTGTACAACAAGCGCAGCATGAAAAGGAAGGAGATGATCGGCTGGATCTCCCTGGGGCTGAACAGCTCAGGCGAGGAGGAGCTCAGCCACTGGACCGAGATGAAGGAGTCCAAGGGGCAGCAGGTGTGTCGCTGGCACTCCCTCCTCGAGTCCTGACCGCCACTTGCGGGAAGCGTCCCGCCAGCTGCCCGGACGGTGTGGCCGACGGTACAGCTGGAGCTGGGCCCTGGAGCATCCTTTTGGCCTCCTGCCAGGACCGTCCATGCCTAGGGGCTGGGGCCCGGCACAGACTCCGCTTGAGCCCACCTGGGAAAGGGAGAGTCGCGTGCCGAGGCCCTCAGCGCTGGGCAGCACGCTGTTGGTCTGAATCTACTTCACCTTCGTGAAAGAGCCAGCAGTTTCACGAACAAATTACCATTATAAATGATTTTAAAATCTAACGGCTGCAATGTTTCAGCACCATCCAGCATTTCATCCGTCAAGCATGTCGCGATGCTGGCCTGGTGTTGGGGGTTCTGAGCCTGCCTCCCTCACAGCTCACAGGAAGGGCTTCCGGCACCCGGACAGCAGCCCGGTGGAGGGTCCCCGGGTTCACCAGTCCGAGCTACCCAGCGCGTCCAGTAGCACGATGCCCAGTGCAGACAAGCGATCGTTTTCATCAAGGACTTTTCCATATCCCTCTGGGGAAAAGCCACGTGCTTTGGCCTCGCCCAAAGAGACGCGTCACCTGCTGACCCACACCGGCCTGGGGCAGCTGCTCCACCTGCTATCCCTTCTGTCGAAAGCACGTCCCGCATCCTTTCTGCCCACGTAGGATGCTCCAGGGCAGGGCCTGGCTTCTGCCTTCCTTTCCAAGAGTGACCCTCGAAAGCCACCCATGTGCAAACACACTTTTTACAAACCATAAATATCGGAGAAGCTGATGAAAGTTGAAAACAACTGGAGTGAGAGGAAACATCCCTTGTCAGCCTGGATTGCCTCGGAAGCAGCAGCAGCTACATTCCGATGAGAACTATCTGTGAGCCCGAGACCCCGCTGGGTGTGCCCTGGTGGCCTGGGGACCCACTCTGTTGGAGCCATGCCATGTCCAGACAGACCCCCGAGGAGCCCGCGCCGCCACTGGTGACGGGCTGGATGCTGGACACCGCAGCCCCACCCTCAGCGTGACGTCATCCTGTGCCTTCCGTGTCGGATCAATTGCTCATACAGCTCGAAAGCTGTATTTGCAAAATTAGGCCTTCGATTTTTATAAAAAATTAAAAGATTCCTCAGAACAGTGTCCGGTCTCCTGTGGTGTGGCAGCGCTGGCGGCGTGCCAACCCTTAATGGCAGGCCTTCTCCTCTGGTGTTCTACCTAGGAACCCTGATTGAGCAGGAATCTTATCAGCTGTTTTCTTTTTACTTTGGCTTCTTACCCAATATATAACTTTACGTGTATACTTTATTAAATAGAGTATGTTTTATACTTAAGGAAAATATTTTCTTTTTCTCTCTTTCTAACTTCCAGTTAAACCAGACAGAAACACACTCTCACCAGTCACAATAACAGTGTCAGCCCTCCCGTTCCGGCTAAGCCCAAGCTTGTTGTTACCAGAACAGCAGAATGGCATAGAGATTGCTACTCCCGTTTGGCTATCCCGAAAGGCCTTAAAAGAAATCTCAAAAGACCATGCGTTCCTAGCAGTTTTTAGTTTTAAAAAATGGCAGCTTTGTGCATTCAGACACGGGAATTGTGGCTAGAATATACTGTGGCGGGTAACTGAGGCCTTAGGGTGCTGTCAGAGTTGCTCTCCAGGGAGAACGCCCTTCCCCTTATTGTTACTCCTGTGGGCTTTCCGGAGGTTGTGAGTGAGTTAGGCTTTAAAGTGAAAACACAAATCTAATGATGAAACAGTTCACGTGAGTGTTTTCAGAAATGGCCTGGAAAGTGAGGAGGGAGCGTATGTTGGCCGAGAAGCTGCCTGTGGGCGCTGGATGCCTCACTTGTCTTTTCTGGCTTTGAAACAAGGGACCTGTTGCTGACAGCTGAGATTTTCCTTATTTGTAAGGGGCTTACTTGTAGCTGTCACCAAACCAGGTCAGACACCTCCCAGGGCCGCTCAGTGAGGAAAAGACCTGTGGGGTGTTACTTGTGAAATCTCTCTTCCTTTGCTTGTGCCCAGCATCGTACATGCTTTGCTACATCCTTGGGGGCTTATTGGGTGTGGGTGGCAAACCCAGGTTGGCCTGAAAATTAATAAACCATTAAAGATGTTTTCAATAAGGGCCCAACCTCCACCTGGCCCATGTCCTCAGACATCATGATCATCTGTGTGTGTGTGTGTTTGTGTCTGTGTGCACTTACCTGCACATGTGCCATGTGCACAAGTGTGCATGTGCACATGAGTATGTGTGTAAAGGTGAAGATGCCCTGGTCTTTTCAGATAACTAAATAGAAAAGCATTTATTAAGTTTATCGATGACTCTCCTTCCTGTTTTCTAGAAATTCTGTTTGGTTGGGTGCTACTTGCTGCCTGCCCCCCACTCTGCATCCGACTTGCAGGGAGCCCCCTCTTCTAAGATCGGTCCTTCTCTTAGAACAGGCCGAAGCAGGGCTCGGGCCGTTTAACCTGACCTGACGTGCCGGTGGTGCCCCTGCTCATTCCACTTGGACTGCGTGGATGCAGAAGGAGAAATTCTCTGTCTCAGAAATTATAGCAAATGGGGACCGGGCGGGCAGGGCTGTTGCTTCAGCACCTTGAGAGACTGTTCTCTGAAGTCCGCTAGGTTTTATCCGCAGAGATGGCCCAGATGGGGGACTCCGGCAGGCCGTTCCCGGGCCTGGAAAGACCCCCTCGTCTGTCTCCAAACCTGGTGTTAGTCGCACCCTCGAAGTGGAGCGCCTATGACTTCAGCCCCAGGTTTCTCCTGCATCGTCCTCCATCATCTTGAATCTCAGAACAACCCTGGCTGTGTGCAGTCACACTTGTCTGTTTTCTTAAAATGTAGTGAATCCTCAACGATGTATTTGTGACACAGAATAAATTGGGCCACAATCTGCAGAAAGACAAATACGAAAATAATCTAAACTGCCCCCTAAGTAGACATGTATTTAAATGGACCCTGAAGGTCAGCGTAGACGCTCAGGGCTCCCGCATAGGCCGGTCCTGTCACCGTCAGCAATTCCGTCTCACCCGTGGAGGAGGCAGAAATGGAATCCTGATGGTGAAGTTAGATGGTGCTGGGGTGGGGGGACCTGGGGCAAGGTGGGGCAGAGCAGGGGCATGGGGAGGGACGGGGTGCCGGGGGAGGGGGCTTGGGGGACTGGAGGCGGGGCTTGGGGTGGGACATAAAATGCAGAATGTGCTTCCAGCTGAAGCTGGAGACCAACCAGAACCATGGTTTTCAAGAGCAGGCTATTTGAAGTGTAACCCAGCCGTCATCTCCAAGCTTGCTTCAAAGTCTGTCCAGATATAAATAGAAAGGACACAGATTTGCTTGCATAAAATGGTGATTTGCCTACCTAGACTGGCTGGTCCACTCAGGGAACTCTCTCTCCTGTTAACGCTGGATCCTCTCCACTGGCTGTCGTCCAGTGTCTCCATCACTCTTCCTCCGTCCACTGCCCAGGGTCCCCGGCAGGATTCTCACCCTCACCGAATGTGAGCATAAGATCACATGTGTTTTAAATTGACTTCAAAACACGTGCTTGGCCACCAGAGTGGATCCCGTGTGGGAGGGCAACAGCTGCTCGCTGGCACTCACCATGAAGCCCACGGTCACACTGAGAGCGGGGCGGGCACCAGCCGGTGGGGGCTCGGCCACCTTGCTGTGCCTCCTGGTTGCTTTTCCAGTCACGTGGAAAGCGGACATTGCACCCAGCGAAGGACACAAGTAAAGAGAGGAACAGAGCTGGGAAAAGAGAACCTTCTTCTTGGGACAGATGGTGTTTCTGAGCCGGGCTCTGTAGTGGACTCTGGTTTGGGTAATTGGCTCGACCTGTGTAGTCTGCACTTCATTCTGAACATCGTGTCCATCTGCTTGTCCTGCTCCTTGACCACTGCTGAGAATCCAAACATTCTAAGACACACGGTGGCTTTCCCACGCTCCCAAGTGGCCAGCCACTGGCTCCCAGCTCGAGGCGCTGCCCCCTCTGTGCTCTCTGGCATCTGACCGTCTCTCTCCTGCACCCACTGAGGTGGGCTGTATGCCACTGATTTCATCGCTGCGTCTCTTTCCTTCCTGGTAGCAGTTAGCGCCCTGGCTGGTCTTTGCATGCCCCTGGCTCAGAGTAGGGGCACAGCCAACATGGACTTGAACTTACTGGCCTGTGGAGAAACGTTATGTGAGGTTCAGCGCACCGCGAATCGTGCTCTCTGTGTGGATTCCTTTACTCCATGGAGACGTGTTTACAAGAGCACCTGCTGTGTGCTGTCTGTTATTCTGTGGGCTGCAGATGCAGACACATGAGGTTGGGTAGACAAAACCTTTGTGCTCGTGGCACTCATGTCTTAGAGTGTGGGGACAGCCCCCCAGTAGGGTAAGTGTGGCGGGAGGAGTACGAGGAGCACCGCCCTGGAAGGGCAGACCCTTTGAGCCACTAGATGCCCATCCGCTCCAGTGTATTATTTCCAAGGTCAACATTTAGGCCAGTGGTTTCCAGATTACAGTATGTTTCAGGACTTTTGTGAGAACTGGATTGGAACCTCCAGAAACCCTGTTTCATTTGAGCTGGGGCAGAGCCTAAGAATCCCCACTTAACAAGCTGTCAGGTACATTCAGCCTCAAGTGGAAGGCGGAGGACATCAGCCTCTCTGCGGGGCAATGGGCAGCCGTGTCTCTGTGCCTGTCAACCAGGTGTGAAGTGTGATGGTGATAAATAATGGGTTGTTGGAAAAGTCATGACATATTTTTTTTCTGTTTTTCAAGCAAAAATGTGTCGTGACTTTTCCAGCAACCTAACAGCAAAATTTAGACTAGGATTAGTGCTGCTGGTCAATACTTCCTCTTCCTTAAGAGGGACGCCAGTGAAGAAAGTAAAGTGGTATTTAATCATGAGTTCACAAACATTCACACTCCACATTGCTTTTCCAGCGCATCCTTTGGTATAGCCAACGCACACTATCTTATTGGTTTTGTGAGTCCTGAAAATTCCTTGGGCTATTGTTCAAATATCCCCTTCCAGCTGTCTGCAAAGGCAGAGATGGGGCAATGCCAGGAGGCTTAGGCGGGTCTGCGGGGCTCCTGGGATCATGGGGGCAAGGCCCAGCTGCAGCGGCTCCTCCCCCAGGGGGGTGTCTCAGCTTCTCACCCACCCTGTCAGATGGGGCATCCATAATGGCACCTGGCTCAGGCCACGTGTTTCTCTCTTGGCTCCAATCTCTATTCTCTTGATTGCTTTCTTTTTTTTTAAGATTTATTTTTTTATTTATACAAGCACTGGGTACAGTCAGAAGCGCGGGAGGGTGAGAGAATCCATGAGAGCAGGGAACAGAACAGGCAGACTGATGAAATGGCCGGGGATTGATGAAGTGGCTGGGGATTGAACCGGCGCTGCAGAGGCTGTGGGCAGCTTCGCAGCCCAGTGCTCAACCGCTGCGCCACCAGGGAGGCCTGTGTTTTTTATTTTTATTGTGAACAGCACGTTAATACAACAGCCCCAAGTTCTCCTCTTGCTCTGAAAAAAATGTGGGTGAAGTGTATTTGCATTCCTAGTCTTCCTCCTTTCCAACGCAGACATCCTCTTTATCTGGCGCATGATTCCGCATGGACAGGCTTTACATTTTGAAAGTTGGTTCCCAGCAGACATATATGATGAGCCCACTGCAGATGAGGTTCCATGAATCTTGAGAGCACCTGACTGGGGCTGGGCTGACCCAGGAGCGCCTGGTCGGGACTGGACTGAATCGGGAGCACCCTGGCCTGGGCTGGGCTCTTTCACGACCCGTGCCGCCACAGGTCGGTCACTCGCACCCCTAGGGCGGGGTCTTTCCACATCAGCGCCAAAGAGCCGAGTGGCTGCATCGTTAGAACACCACCAAGAATGCACACCCAGCCTTGCTCATTTATAAGGGCCAGCCCCTCCCGTGAGCATTCCTTCCCTCCTCCTGCAGCACCCGCCCGTCCACATACATTCACACTGGCCCCAGGGCCCCCCATAGGGCGGGCACACCTACCAGAATGGATGCCCTGGATGCCCTGGCTCTTTGCTCTTAGTTGTATGGATAGGACAGTGGACATTGGGGGGGTGGGGAGGAGGTTGGGGGGGGAAATGAAGCTTCTGTCCGTCCTTCTGTGACCTGGGACCTTGCTCACCTTCAAGAGTGTGGCCTGTGCTGGTGGGTCAAGAGCAGAACAAGCTGGTCTTGATCTAACAACAGTTTTATTGTAGAATTTCATCACCTTAGTACTTAAAAATCTCTACAGAACT